TGTAAGAGTGTGTTAATATAAAGAGATCAGGCCTCTTTATAGACATGGAACAGCTTTGCTGCAATTGCTCCTAAACTGAATCCAGTATGTGTGTATACTTGAAAGTTCTGAGCAACATGTCTAGATATTTTTTTCCATACAATGATTTTCATAGCACAGGTGCACAGCATGTTCATGCTGTAATCGTTGGTGTGAAGATAATTGTATTTTACATTCTGTCCTTTAGGAAGACCAGAATTGTGTGATTCTGTGTTTCCGTATGTAAAAAAAAATCTCAGTGGTTAAAAAATACAGTCAAAAAATAAAATAAATCTCATTTAATGAAATCACTTAGGATAAACAAACCCTGGGAGGTGGTTGTAAAGAGTCCTAAAGAAAGAAAGTGAACTGACAGAAAGCAGCACAAAACATTAGTAGTCTCCCTTTTATTTTAAACACAATGCAATAGGCGACTGATGCCAGACAGTGGCCATCCTGTTCGAGTGAATCGCAGAAACCGCGACCTGTACCTTTTTATTGGTTTGTCGGAGATAATCAAGCTCCTCTGTCAGTGCTGCTGGGCTCTGCTCCCCCCGTTCAAGGCTGCAAGAGGTCCAATGGTCAGATTTACAGGGCGAATCTTGTCTGTCGCTGTACGAGGACCAGAAAAATATTTATTCAGCGTGAGCCAATCAGAACACATGTGTCTGCCACTTATCCCAAATAGCCATGTGCTGTCATGTTCAGGACAGTCGCTTTACATATTAAGTAGGCTACTTGGGGACAGGCCAATTGTTCCATTAGCAAAAAGAAATTAAAAAGAAAGAAAAGGCATTCTTTCTCTGCAATCTTTTTCTTCTTTACCTGCAAATTCATGTCGGTGAGATTTACATGAGATAAACACACTGCATATTAAAATGTTAAACTCATATCACTTAGATTCTAGATTAATTGTATTTTAAAATGCAAGGGACTTGGGAAGGCATTCTGGATGGGCTAAATGATATATGCAATGTTTTCTTTATTTTTTGAAACCTGTGGATATTTTTTATTTGTCTTGAAAAGGGCATGAAAACTTGAACATTATTATATAATTTACCAGGGATTACTGCTTCAATTTAAAGTTAGTAGGGCACTAGGCTCTTCCCCCTCTTTCTTGTTGTGTTCTTCCCATTTGACCACATTCTCTTAACTCCTGACATAATCAGATTTCATTCCCTGGTCAACACTATACAGATTTATCTACAGATGCATGCATGTACGTTTGTGGGAAATAACCAGTTTAAAAAGGTCCCAATGACAGCCCCAGAACACAGAACTTTACGCAAGTCTATCCTTTAGGGTGTCTAGGATCTGACAGCCGAATACAAAACAAACGGGTTACATAAAAAACCCTGTCAAAGCACAGTAAGCATACCCAATAGGTCTGTACCCAGTAAGTGGGGCCCTCTAAAATTGCCATTACTCCTTTCCACAACAATACATGCGGCATATGTTGTTGCTATATAAATGCCAAAATTAATAATAATAATAATAATAATAAATTTTATTGTTTTAATTATAAAAAAAAAAAAAAAACTTAGGAGGCAATGCCACACTTTCCACTATGGATTAGCCTCCACCGTCATTTACAGGAAAATTTCCATCCTTTAGAAAGACTGAATGCAAGTTAAAAAAAATGCATCACATGATAAGTGATATGTGGAGACATGGAAACAGTGGCATCACTTGTGCTTTTCATTCTTGGATTAAACACACAAGAAGAGACTAATATTTAATGTACATCGATAAACCTGTTTTTTAATTAACATTTTCTTTTTCTTCTGTTTGTTCTATAGATACAAATATGGAGTGCAAAAATCTTGCTGGAATCATTCCTGGCACACTACTAGTCATTAAGACTTTAGTTTCTGATCTGATCAGTAAAAGTCATTTTACACTGTTTGAACCCTCATACATATAAAAAGAGAGCCATCAGATTTGCTCACAAACCAATTTTGGAAGAAACCTGCCTGGTTCTGAATTCCGCACTCTTAGCTTGTGATTATTAATTATTCTAACTGGGCAACTCATATATTTAGAGATTTTCTGCAAGCTCTGATATTGAACAAACATTCTTAAAGGGCCACTATAGGCACCCAGACCACTTCACCTCATTGAAGTGGTCTGGGTGCAGTGTCCCAGGTCCCTTAACCCTGCAAAGGTCATTATTGCAGGTTTTAATAACTCCTGTGGCTGTCTATCAGACAAAAATAAATATATATTGTAATATAAATAAATATATATTGTAATAATGCATCGACAATACAGATAATATACGGATTAAAACATTAGAGAACAATGAAAAATCAGCTCAAGAATAAGCTGGCAGTAAGACCATTTTATAGTTTTGAATGAAAGTATCATTGCGTGCTAATTGCTAGCTGCATTGAGCTGTACTAAAACGGTGTATTTGTATTCAGGCCAACGGAAATGCCCACAAATTACTCTAATCCATTTCCCTAAACAAAGAAGAGCTTAGCCTCAATATTAAAAACTGTTGTCTATTCACTCTTAATTATAATGTTATTTCACAAAAAAAGCAGGAAGCTACATTCTAAATAACCACCAGTAATGTGCCAAAATAAGTCAAAATAAGCAATGAAGAAACCCTGTCCCCTGACAGTCAGCGCAACGCAAATCTACTTTCTCAATTTAGCTAGACTCCATGTGCTTAAACATTAACCCATAGCATGACATAATATCAGGGGCTTTAATTAAAGGAACACTCCATGCACCATATTGCAGCTGCATGCTTCCAAACATTGGGAGGTATGCAAATGATAAGTGAGTTACCAGTAATACCTATAACGGGCAGGTGTGCCTTAAAAAGTTTCAGGCCTTCTTACTAAATGTGTCTCAGCATGCCATAAAGCATGCCAGGCTAACCTTTCTGATGGACTAAGCAGGGAGTGTTGCTGAAGTGCTCTCTGCACGGTTATAGTGCAGCACAGAGCGAGCGTGTCTAATTATGTGCTTGAGTTGTGCTGCCCTTGCACGGTTACCTGCTGTCCCCGAATGCAGGACACCATGGAATTAATACGAGACAAGAACCCGAAATCATGACTGTCTCGCCAAAAGTGGAATTATTGGGAAGCATGCAAATGGGAGCTGCCTTTCCCTGTATGCCTTCCAAAAGAAGGTTGTAGGGCACGGTTTAACTTTCAAAAATGCCTGAGACTTAAACAGTTATTTACTAAAGTCCGAATCCAAGGTGAATTCAAAATGAAATTTAATTTAAAGTCAAATGAGCTAAACAGCTGAAAGCCATGCATTCCATTCTGTGTTTTCACTTTATGTTCAATACAATTATATATATATAATATATAAGACACTTGCCTTTTCTGGATTGCAGGATGACCATCACTTTGATCTAATTTTTCGATTGTTTTGGGTGCAGATATGTGCCTTGGGCTGGGGATGGGCATTTTCTTGAGAGCAAGTTCTGTAGGATTGATCAGTTCTTGAGACATCGGGAAACCAGTATCTATCCAAAGATACCCTACTTACGGTGAGCACTGACCTACATACAAAAAAATAATAATAATAATTTTATGTTGGACACACTGACAAATTAACCATCTGCAAATACAATAAGAGCAATTCTCTCTAAACATCTACTCCTAATTGTTGCTTGTGGCCATCATTTTGCTATGTAGCTATTCAATATATCAATTTAAATTTATACAACAATCCTAACATTCCTTATATGTATACACTGCATGCTTTACTTCAGTTCATCATTCTTGGTTTAAGTATTATACACCTATGTGGAGAAGCATCATAGGTAATAGAGTTCACAGACACCTACAGCATCAGTGTTGACCCTCGCTGGTCTACTGACACTTCCTTCACACATACCACAAGGATTCACACCATTGTAGAACACATGAAACTGTGAGCGGTCTGTGTTATGCGGAGAGGGAAAGTACACCATTATACTCCCATGTTTTGGACAGGTCATAAAATACTTTAAAAAGTATAATCCCACAACACACACAGATTTGGGATTGTGTCAAAATATATATTTGTCCAAGTTAGCTTTGAATGTACGGCTTGATTTAAAGATGCAGCTGTCCTGTCATTGCTAATGCATTGGCATTTTGTCATCTTTTACACAAAAGGATTTTTACATGGATTTCAGTGAATAATGAGCAAACAGAGAGGCACAAACTTAATGTGAAGCTAGGGATTTACTATGACAATAATCAACATGCAGAGATCGTGTAGGAATCCCTAAGGTTAAACACGTCTTGTCAAAGGTCAATTCTTAAAGTTTTTACTGAACTGAACACCGACAGACTATTAAAGAAATATAATAATAATAATAATAATAAACAAAAACATGGATCTCATTGGCAGGAGAAGTCATTCAGCAGTACCTAGCAGCCAAAATACCAGCCATGCTCAGTTGTACATGTAACACTGCAAGGTAGGATATTGGGACCATCTTTTGGTTTTATGTCAAATAACTTTCAAGCAGTTTGATATAAATCAGAGGTCCCTCATGTACCCAGTGCCTCACTTGCTGTATTGCTAATGTGGAATTTACACTTTCGCATTAGCAATGCCTTTTTTGTTCAGGTTTGGGCTAAGGGCATCAGCTGACCAGGGCTGGACTGGGAACAAAAAGCAGCAATGGAAAGAAAATTCTATACCAGCTCAGTAATGCGTTGCACCGGCATAGGGTGCAGATATAGAGACGGAAAAGATAACTGGAAATTGAAAACTAAAAACTATTACTCTAACATAAAAGGAAGGACTAGTTTAATCAGACGTGCATCAATGTTTCAGTCCAACTACCTGGACATATTAAGACAAGTTTGGTAATGGGACAGGAATGGTCAATGTATGCTGTTGCACAGCTGTAAAAAATAAATAAAATAAAAAATGTTTAAATTTAGTGATGTCCCGAACGGTTCGCCACGAACGGTTCACCGCGGACTCATCATTGAGTAAACTTTGACCCTGTACCTCACAGTCAGCAGACACATTCCAGCCAATCAGCAGCAGACCCTCCCTCCCACACCCTCCCACCTCCTGGACAGCTCAGTAAGAATGCAGCTTCACAATGGATGCTGTCCAGAAGATGGGAGGGTGTGGGAGGGTCTGCTGCTGATTGGCTGGAATGTGTCTGCTGACTGTGAGGTACAGGGTCAAAGTTTACTCAATGGAACCGTTCGGGACATCACTATTTAAATTACGTTATCTTGTTTATTTTAACCACCACAAAACAAAAATAAAAAATTGTGTATCTTTGTAGTAGACAAGTATTTGCATTTTGTTGACTGCAAAGATAAAATTAATGTGAATGCTCTCAGGAGTTATTTACTAAAATGAGAATTTTAAAATTTAAGGTCAAAATGGTCAAAGTGGAAAAATTCTCAGCTATGCTTCGAGTTTAGCTACTTTGGCCGTTAGTGACTCGCCCTTTAAATGGAAAGCCTTGGTTCAAGAGCAGATTGTTAGCTACTGACCGTGTCAATATTTTCTCCAATTTTTTTTTGCCCTGAAACAGTATTATCAGTATATTAATGTATCTAAGGCTAAATAAATAGAAAACTGCATTTGGAAGAAACAAGAAGTACAGGTTTGTGTTGGGGGACAATCCCAAATACTGGTTATCAAACTGGTCTGTTGTTGCCGTGAGCGGCAGGTTTTTAATACAGCCCGTAAGCATTATTCCGGCTGTTTGACTAAGGAATTAAAGGTGTTGAAAGTACATTTGTACAGTACGCATGTACAGAGTGAATATATTTACACATCATTGTCACAGCTGGCTGAATATAGGAAAACGTGAGGTATGAATACAATTTTCATAATTTCACAAAATCTTAATACCTAAACAATGGGGTTTATTCAATAAAAAAAGGGAATTATGAACAAAAAGAGAATGCATATTGGGAATTTCAAATCAATAGCAGATCTTGAAAATTAGCAGAGTTCAAAAATGATTTACTTTGGGTATTTTGCTAGAAACTTGCAATACCTTAGTCTGTACAATATCAGGTCCCCTATAATAACAGCATAGAAATAATTTTATTCTTACCAATGACTTGCTTGCTTGAGAATAACCGCAAACAATCAAATTTAAAAACAAAGCTACTACTTCATTTTTACAGTACTACATATTTAATGGGTCATTTATGGTTTGTTATTTAACACCTTCTGGAATAAAAGGGAATCATGACATGTCACACATGTCATGTGTCCTTAAGGGGTTAAAGGGACACTATAGTCACCTGAACAACTTTAGCTTAATGAAGCAGTTTTGGTGTATAGAACATGCCCCTGTAGCCTCACTGCTCAATCCTCTACCATTTAGGAGTTAAATCCCTTTGTTTATGAACCCTAGTCACACCTTCCTGCATGTGACTTGCACAGTCTTCCATAAACACTTCCTGTAAAGAGAGCCCTATTTAGGCTTTCTTTATTGCAAGTTCTGTTTAATTAAGATTTTCTTATCCCCTGCTATGTTAATAGCTTGCTAGACCCTGCAAGAGCTTCCTGTATGTGATTAAAGTTCAATTTAGAGATTGCAATACAATTTAAGATAAATTACATCTGTTTGAAAGTGAAACCAGTTTTTCTTTTCATGCAGGCTCTGTCAATCATAGCCAGGGGAGGTGTGGCTAGGGCTGCATAAACAGAAACAAAGTGATTTAACTCCTAAATGACAGTGAATTGAGCAGTGAAATTGCAGGGGAATGATCTATGTACTAAAACTGCTTTATTTAGCTAAAGTAATTTAGGTAACTATAGTGTTCCTTTAATATGAATGTGGAAATGAAAGACAAAAGATGCCTTTGAGACCGAGAGAACTTGTTTGATAAAGGTTTAGAATTTTCAGGAGAATTCAAAACCTTTTGCAGAAATCAAGGTTTTCTTATTTTTATCCATTTGCTTACTTATAACTATATTTGTCATGGACCCAGTGTTGCAGGGCATGGGTTCATCTTGATTGGGTGGCAATTTTACAATGGGCATTTGTTGTGTTCATAAAAAAGCTTGTTTGAATTATTTTGATGGGGCATGTTGATGTAATAGAAAACAAAGACTTTTGTATTCCATCCACATGTTTTGTTCAGTGATATGGACAAAATGGTGCTGAGTATTTGTTTGGTTTGGTAAGGCTAAGTATTGTTTTCAGCAAGAAAAGCAAGGAGTTCTGGGAAGACGACTTCATGGGGAACTGTATGTATTGTTAATACACTATTGCTAATGGCCCTCTTCTAGGATAAAGATCACTGCACGTCTGCAATAAAGGGGGTTCTGATTAACCCCTACATGATGTCTCGTTTCATGGTATGGGGTAAAGGCTATAAAATCACGGCTATAAACCACTCGCTACATTTCACCACCAAATGCTGGTCAGATCACTTCGCGAGGGACATCTGAGCACTACCAAGAGCACCAAGTACTTGAACTCAGCAAGGCGATACTGAATGGTCCAGACGTAGCTAAGAAAGTCAAGGAGTATTGGAGGTGCTCAGCCAGAGTACCCGCATCGTCGTTACAACTGGAGGCAAGCGGTGGGATTGCTTCCTGGCTATAAGGAGTATCCTAACCACCACCAGGACTCTGAACAACCTGTGAAGAACCAGAAGTGGATAGCCCAGCAGTACACCGACTTGAAGCGTGCTAACCTGAAAGACTTGGTGGAAGTCCGAGGTATTGTAGCCAGCAATCTGACAAAAAAAACAGTCTTAATGGAGATTCTCATGGAGGATGAACAATCAGGCGAGAATGGAGTGATTGAACCAGAGGTTTATGAATTTGATCGGCAGATACAAAAGTGGCTGTGCTACTACCACCAGAATCCCTTTGAAGCAGCAATCTGGGAGCTGTGTATTTACCGCGAGGCTGACAAGAAATTTGCCTTGGGCTGTACTTTCAGGGGGCGGCAAAAAAAGACGCCCCCCAAATCCCCTGGCAGATGCCTTGCCAGCCTCTTGTCCTTGGGGGCCCAGGAGCTGGCCAGCTGGCCACCTTGGGCCTCCCAAGTCTGGTATCTGCTTGGGATGCTGTGAGCAGCAAGGAAAGACTCTCCCCTGAGCTCTTCCTGCTCAGCTACCTCGCGCGCACCACAGTGATGCCGGAGCAGGAATATGACGTAACTCCAGTCCCGGCATCACTAAGAGGCGCGCAAGGGAGTGGAGCAGGGAGATCAGAGTTCCCTCGCGTGCCTGCATTGACTGCACTAGCAGCCTCACTGGACCAAATGTAGGGAGGCTGGGTGGAGTAAAATTTTAAAAAATTAATAAATTGTGTGTCTGCCAGTGAGTTTGTATGTGTTTGTGTGTCTGCCAAAGATTGTATGTGTGCCAGTTAGAGTGTATGTGTGTTTGTCAGTGTGTGTGTCTGATCTTATTTGGTGTGTTTCTGACACTGAGTGAGTGTGCGTCTGTTAGTGAGTGTGCGTCTGTCAGTGTGTTTATGTGTGTCTGTCAGTGAATGTGAGTGAGTGAGTATGTTTGTGCGCCAATGACTGTCAGTGAGTGTATGCATCAGTGAGGGCGTGTGTCTGCAAGGAAAAGAGCGTGTTGGATTTAAAAAGGAAGATAAATTTAGATTGCGGGGGGAGGTGCCAGAGTTTTGTCATGCCTAGGGCAGCACAAAACCAAAATACACCACTGCCTGAAGCGGCAGTCGGGGAGAAGTGAAAGGCACCCAGCATGGTGCATGGAGACACCAAGACATAAGAGGAGGAGAGAAACCAGCTGTCTTATAATACGTTTAAGACGGTCGAATATGTGGAGAGGGATATTAACGGAAATCTACGTAATTTCGAAAGGCAATGTGGGTTATAACAGTTGCAGGAAATGGATTGGGTCCTCATCCTGGTGAGCAACCTGTTGGGTACGGCAGCCGAGGTCTACCAAACGGTCTCGGATGAGGAGTGCCATGACTATGATCGGGTGAAAGAAAGGTTCTATGCCCGGTATGACATCACCCCAGAGTCATATCACCAACGATTTCAGGATCTGAGAAAGAATGAGAAGCAAATCTTCAGAGAGTAAGGGAACCAGATGCAGCAGGCGGTTAAGAGTTGGATGCAGGAGTACCAGGTAACTACTGTGTCTGAGGTGATTCAAGTCATTCTACTTGAACAATTCCTCAACTGTGCTCCCCCAGGATTGGGTTTGCCGTTCCCGATCCAACCAAAAAGCAACAAACTTGGTGGATGAGTATCAGGACACCCAACGGTCCTTCTCTACAGCCGTTCGGCCAATCAGCTGACCCATATCACCTCCCGCAAGGGTAGTACCTGCTCCTAAGAGAAATGTCAGCATCGGACCAAGTCAGAGACGCCCTCTAGCCCACACTTTTCTGCCCAGGCACACCGGACCCTTGTGTTATGAATGTGGCCAGATTGACATCACTGGTACTACCACCAAGCCGAGCCAGGTTTCAGCTCACTGTTATTCGGAGGTCTGGGGAAGTGGTATCGCTAACAAGGAGTCAAAGTGTCTGTAGGAGGACTGGGGAGTATTTCACGAGGAAGAACCGGTACAAGCAGCGACTAGCAACAACCGATACCATCATCAGCAGGCCCTTACGGGTGAATGGGCGTGCCTCCCAAGGATTATGGGACAACAGAGCTACAATTACCCCATTTCAAAAAAGCAAGTGTGCCGGCATAACTGAGGTTTTCCCTGTTGGGTTCTACGATTTCCACATGGGGTGAAGAAAATGGCATAGACCACTGCAAGGTTATTTTTATCCAGATTGATTAGATAACTCTGTAACTCAGTAGTTTATTCACAACACTCAGTATTGTGAAGAGCACCCACAGGAAATTCAAAATAGTCAAACTGGAAACCAATTTGCAATTCCTTTGTTGATTCATTATAATGCCCAGTTTAGTTAATAAACCTCCGTGTCCTTCCCAGTCATGTTTGAGGAAACCTTGAGATTTGTCCTGCTGGAAAAGTCCACTGCACTAACAGAGAAAGGAAAACAGTAGGCTAAGAAGGTCAAGACCAGAGGTCTGCTGTAGGTGGAAATAATGTTAATTATTAGGCCATAACATGTGTGCAAGTACAAATCCTCCTTATGCGTTACGAAATGGTGGAGGATTTGACATATGAATTTTTCTCAGAGCCCTAGAAATGCTAGTCACATCTGCTGCAAAAATGT